GAAAGTTGTAGAAGTTTTGTGAAGGAGAAATTCTGAAAGGAGTTTTATGCCTGGTCAAGTAGACTAAGATTAAAGTAAATCCAATTAAGCAAATGAGTTTTAACGTTAAAAAACAAAACTGCTAACAGAGATTAAGATCAAGAACCGGTTATACAGGACTGAATGAACTGAGGATGATTACAATTCTTTTTACGACTTTTGTTTGAAATATTGTTTTTGATGTGTTGTTTTGTTTTCTCAGATTTAAGGAAATCTTTTCTCTTATGCTAACCATGTCTTATAGCAATCAGTGAAATTATACCTTTGTGAGCAAAACTGAAACATTTGTCTTTTTCTCCCTACCTGATCCCTCTAGAATTTGGAAACTCTTTGTGAGTGAGTATGGTTATTTCGTGGCAATATAGTTATTTGCATAAGTTCAATAAGAATCTGTTCTCATTATAACAGGACACATTTGTTATCTTATCAAAGCTTTGACTGGAATGTCATATTTGAGAGAAACATACAGACTCAGATATGACAATACTGCCTTTGGAGAATAAGGTTGACTTTCTGGAAATAAAGCCACTTGGAAATATGGGCCTGGTACCTTGCTTTACAGAGAGATTCCAGCAATCTTACCTGGTAAGTAAGGAAGCTTGCTTATCTGGCAGGTGCGATGAACCTCGAAATATTTTGGGGAATCTCAAGAAAGGAGAGAAATTCACCCAAATCTAAGGTATTGCAGGCAAGGCCTGATGGCACAAATCCTTGGCTTGGCTTTTCTGGCCTTGAGACGTCTTTAAAGTTCAATCTGAGATTCCTCATAAAAAAATTCCAGCAAAAGCAGATTTAAGAGTCTATATGATCAATTGCTATTCTTGCTGCACTTATGTAAATAATTGGGCCAAGTTTCTTGAAACTAAACTTATTTTGGCAAACCAATTAGTCTTAACTTGACTATCTTTGGTAAACATGAGGGTGATTTTAGAGAGAAGAATTGTTTCAGTGAAAAATTATAATACGCATTTGTGGATATTAGATCCTAGTTCTGTTAATTGTCTTTGAGGCTTTTTCTACCTGTGAACTGAACTGCATCCTGAATTATTCTACTGAAATATCTGGTTACAAACTTCCAAACTAATGTTTTCAATTTTTACCTCATTTTCACCTGGAATCATTGAGAATTGATCATGCTCTTTTTCCTGAAACCTTGCAAAGTGAAGCTGAACAACTTGATAGAAACTTAAGAGAGATAAGAGAGATTCCTGTCTGTTGCTGTGTAAGCTGTAAGCCACTCACAAAGATACCTGAATGCCCGAAGAAATCATCAGACACCTTTCACACTGCAAAAAGATGCTTTGACTCTGACATCTAGAAGTCTTCTTGACTGCCTGCCCCCTGGACGCAGGAACTAATTTATAATTTGCTCCAACCATTAACCTTGTTACCTTGCTTCCAACATCACAAGGGAGAGAAGACCACAACCGCATTCTATTGTTTAATTTGGTTTACAAATGAGTCTTACTTAAATGATAAGTGAGGATGTTACACTGTCTAGCCTCAAGAATGCCTGCTACTTTCTGTTAACTCTGCTAACCCAGTAAAAGATTTCCTTCTACAGGCTCAAGAAATTGCCATGGAACAAGAGAAACAGATATGGCAGTCAAAAGGGGGAATTTTTGACACCCCCTCGCAGATGTGGTTCGGGCCCAATAAGAAACCCACTCCATGGGTCACAAGGCCACTTTCCCTTCCTAAGGGACCCTTTGAGGTATGACAATTGGACTTTGTCCAAATGCCACCATCTCAAGGATAAACATATCTTGTAATGATCTGTATGTTCTCACATTGTTTTGAGGCCTTTCCTTGCAGAAGAGCGATGGCTTTAGGTAAATTATTATTGAAAAGAATAAATTCCTGTTTGAGGAATTCCTCCCGAGTTACACAGTGACTGGGGGAACTCAAATCTATTTGTAATGTTTGGCCAATATTGCAGCATTTCTACTGTGCTTACCATCCCCGATCCTCAGGACTGGTAAAACGAATGGCACAACTAGAACTTAATTGGCAAGCTTTCAGAAACATTTACTCTCTCACGGCCAAAAGCTCTTATGCTAGTGCTCTTTAATCTTAGGTCTATACTTTTTGTAAACATTGGCTGTCTCCTTTTTAAATAATACAACAGCCTATGCAATTAAATGAAGAAATATATGAACCAGCTTTGCTTAAGGGATGTATTACATTGTTTTCATGGTCTTATTGTGGTGCTTAAAAGAAATGAAAGATTTGTAGCTGATTCTTTCACAGAGAAGTCCCAGAACTTAAGGATAATGGACTGTAACCTGAAGAATTTATTTATTGAAAGAGACATCAAATAAGACTCTTTGCAGCCCTGTTGGAAAGGACAATACCAGGAGGAGAAGACGACGACATCTGTTGTAGACAGCTGTCCCAAGACTCCAGACCAGGCCTGTATTCCCAACCTTATATCTCCTCATTTAAACCTTTGTTATGCTTAAACTATATGCCTATTTTATAATTGTTTGGAATGCTATCATACTTAAAGTGATTAATTTGGAACAGACTGGTCTTGAAGGCCAGGAATTTATCGAGTGACTCCTAATGGAACTCAATGGTTATGTGGAACAAATCTTTGGCCTTGGCTACTGCCTGGATGGCTAAAACACTTCACCCTGAGTTTCCTTTAAAAGCAGGGAAGGAGTCAGGCTGAGTTAAAACCTGTTGCCAATCTCCCTCTCTTTAAGGCCAGATGGGCTTGTTCAGTGTTTCACTGGTATGACTGTATTTGCAGCTATGTTTGCTCCTTCCTTGGGGCTAGAAGATGTCATATTACATATAGAAGCTCTGACTAAATTTACTCAACAAGCCCTTAATGATAGTCAAGCAGGAATAGCCTTATTAAATACTGAAATGACTTTAATGCGAAAGGCTGTCCTTCAAAATAGAATGGCCTTAGATATTCTTACAGCATCCCAAGGTGGCATGTGTGCAATCATTCAGACTGAATGCTGTGTTTTTATACCTGATGAGTCTTCCAATGTGTCATCTCTGCTAAAGCACATGAAGAAGCAGGTGGATGCCTTATGCGATCCTGCACCTAGTTTGATTTGTTTCATTGATTCCCTTTCAGTACCTGTTCCCTTTTTCAATCCGGATTGGAATTCCTATTTCTATTACTTATTGGAATCCTTGTATTGGTCATAATATTCAAACTAATTGTTGTTTTCTTTACTCAGTGTTGTAAGAGTAGCATACAAACTAAAGTAATGATTGCTTGACAGCTTGAGATGGTCAGTCTGTCTTATAACCCTGGACAAATTTCCTTTTCTGATACGGACTATGACTAAGAATTCATTTCAGACTAATCCTTTAAAAAATGCTGTTCTTATCGTTACTGTACTTGTTCTATAATCATATACAATGTAAATGCAAGGTGTCATAGAAAAGTGCATATGCAATGTTTGTGCAACAATCTAAATTAATTACATAACATATGAAATGCTTCCTCTGTTAATAAATATACTTCCATGCTTGTCCACTATTTCCCCCCAACGTGGACGACCAGGCAAATAAATAAGATAAAAGCCTAGCACCGAGGGACATGATGGACCCAGGGCAGGCAGCAACCACCCTGGCGCCGAGGGACAATATTTGATCATAAATGCTTTCTATCGAAAGATTAGAGATCAAAAGGGGAAAATGACAAATAAAAATGGCAAGCAATAGGATATATTGGAGTATATGAGGAAGCCATTTGGTATAAACCTAATTCGGCCTGACTTCTCTTTGTTTTCCTCCAAAAGGGGCTGACTGGCTATTGAGCACGCATTGCATATCTGCTTAGACATTTCCTATGGCCAGAACAAAGGCCCTTGTGATAAAGATGCAACTTCCCCCCCACATTAGCATTTTTCCTTAGGCTAGGAACTGATTGCTGCACTCACCTTCCAGCTCACCTGTGACCACCCAGCTGGAGACAAGAGACTGCCACCCTGCTGTGTTCACCGAGACAGAAGACCTACCTGCTATTTCCATCAATAGGCTGTGCCGACAGAGTAGTCTCGCGACTATTGTAAAAGGGACATTCCAATCATATGTGAAACATCCTCTTTGAGGGTATATAACGACCCTGTATACCCCCCCACCTCTTTGGAGTGCTCTGTTCCTTTGTGAAAAGACTCTCCTGGGTTATAATCCTCAGATTTAAGCTCAGAATAAACTCACCCAAATTTTCATTTATAGATTGGATATGGATTATTTTCGTCGTCACTAAGAATAAATTTTTACTCAATTCCCTAACCAATCACAGTAAAAATGTTTTAAGGTTTTTAAAACTCAATCTGCAATACTATTAAATTTCTCTGGTTCTTTTGCTAGAACACACAGACCTGGCCTAATAGTTTTATAAGGCAACTATATTCGGAACATTAGGTTTGCACCTATACCTAGAATAGCATCCTCTCCTATGGTATGATTTAAGGAAAGCAGAAAAGCTCAGCTGTCCAAAGATACACCTATCATTTATCTGCTGAGGAGTCTCTGAAGACTCTTTAGGAAGGAGATAGAGAAGGGAAACACAGAAATTCATTATCAAAGATTATATATTATCAATCTAGCAGTTTGTTGTTAGATTAGCTAGCCTAGCAGGTTGTCAGTTTCAAAGGGAATGGGACACTGAGTCAATATGTTTTATTGTGTGGAAGGCCCTAGGAAAGACTGAGGACATGGGGCTTTGCCAGGGAAAGCCAACCTAGATGGAACAATTTAATTAGGGCACATTGGGAAACTAGATGATAGCTAGAGAACATCAGCAAGTTGAAAGAATATTAATGCCATGTATGTACCACCTCCATTCATTAATATCTTTGTCCCAATACAATGTCTGTTACAACAAATACATATTTAGCCATTAAAATATAGATATATAAAGCATGCCTTTACATTTCCACATCACTCAACACATCGTACTAATGATTAAGTATTCATTATGTTTTTACCTCTCAAATTCAGACTCCTTTTGGGGTGATGCTCTGAATCTTCCTGCTGGTGAGTATCTTCGATATCTCCCTGATTGGCCATGAGATCTCTCTGACTGACCATGAGATCTCCCTGATTGGCTATAAGATCTCTCTGATAGGACATGAGATCTCTTTGAGTGGTCATGAGATCTCCCTGAGTGACCATGAAATCTCTCTGAATGGCCACAAGATCTCTCTAATTGGTCATGCGATCTCTCTGATCGAACATGAAATCTCCCTGATTGGCCACGAGATCTTTCTGTGTGGCCACGAGATCTCTCTGATTGGCCATGAAATCTCTCTGATTGGCCATAAGATCTCTCTAATTGCCCTTGAGACCTCTTAGATTGACAATGAGATCTCTCTGAGTGGCCCTGAGAGCTCTCTGAATGGTGTCGATTTTCTTCCAGTTGGTCTTGAGATCTTTTCTCCTCTGATTGGCCTCCATTCCTCTCTGCTTGGGTCTTAGACTTGTCATTGCACTTCTCCTGCAAAGAACCGCAATTTTGCAAAACGAATGAGACATATACCCCATAACTTCATTAAGTCATAATGAGATTTTGTCAAGAGCATTTCTAAAGGCAACTCTTTTTTTAGAATTCCACTGCCCCTACTTTTTTCTTTTTGAGGAAGATTAGCCCTGAGCTAACAGCTAACATTTGCTGCCAATCCTCCTCTCTCTCTCTCTCTCTCTTTTTTTTTTTTTTTTTGCTGAGGAAGACTGGCCCTGAGCTAACATCTGTGCCCATCTTCCTCTACTTTTTATATGTGCACTGCTCCTACTTTTATAGGCTAAACAGTTTTCAGAACTAATTTGCTGAAAGCTCTGATGTTTCATGTCATTGGCACAAAGAATTTTATGCATATAAAACTTTAATAAAGTTTTAAATATGGAAAATTACTTGCTTTGTGTGTACTTGAATTTATTCCAAGGTCATGTTCTTCCTACCATTTTCTGGATCTATGTTTTACCTGAAGAAACAATAGATTCTGTAACTTTATACTTGAGGAAAGACAGAATATTTAACAAAATTTTGTAGCACAAATCCTTAGAACCAAAGGAAAGTGTTCAAAATCATACTATTTATTCTACACCAGCTCAGGATCATTAAAAAGAAACTCTCTCTTCAATATAAAGTAATACTTAATTCTAGAGAGAAAGGTAAAAATAAGTGAGGGGAAAGGTAGCTATAAAGAAAGCAGATGGTTGGCTTAATACTGTTCATGTAAATTAGTCTGGCAACCACACAGTCTTTCTACCTTTTCAATTTTCAAACCAAAAGAGCAGTGGAGTGAATCAGCCAAATGGAAATAATGAAAACTTTGACAAATCTCTCTGATGCTACATAAATGTAAGAGGATAAAGTCATATGAACCGTGCTGAGAAATCAAGCTTTCCACTAGTAAATATTGCCTGGCAAACAAAATCTGCCCTAGATCTGGCGTTGCGACTTTCTAGTATAACTCTACCAGCAGCTGGAAGCAGCTGTTAAAAGGCAGGGGAGATACTGGCATAAAGAATATTCTTCACATAAAACTTTAGTCAAATAAATATGACAAATCTGTTGCTTTGCTAAAGCAAAAAACCACAGTCACTCTCCAGCTTTTCTACTGTAAACACAAATAAGAAGATGGGGTGGAAGGCACATGTACCTCTTCTCTTTTCTAAGTGACTAGTGTTGGGAGCACAGTGAGGGAGCAGAAAGGATTGAGACTCATCTCCTAAAGACTCATGTGCCCCCAAGTACCTTTCCAAAGGAGCTTGTAGACTTTTGCAAATGTTTATATACGAAATATTTTCAGCAGCTTGGATACTACAGATTTCTACCTTTAGAAAACAAAATACGTGTTAGTTTTATTTCCTTATAAACAACATAAATTGTCTATCAAAAAGAATTGTGTTGAATAAATACAATTGTATTCTACTGATATTAAGATTAAATCTTGTGAGGGGGGCTGGGCCTGTGGCCTACTGGTTAAGTTTGGCGTGCTCCTCTTTGGTGGCCCAGATTTGGTTCCTGGGCACTGACCTACACCACTTGTTGGCAGCCATGCTGTAGTGGTGACCCACATACAAAATTGAGGAAGACTGACACAGATGTTAGCTCAGGACAAATCTTCCTCAGCAAAAAAAAAAAAAAAAAAAAGATTACATCTTATGAAGTACAAAACTAGCTTATTAGAATTTCAAAGCATGATTGAAAATTGTAATTGTTAATCAATTTATTGGTGAAATAATTATGCTTAAATTTTAATATATTTCTCTACTAGAGTATCTTTTTCTGGTGAATTCTGCTCTAACAACAGTCTCAAAAGTTTCAAAAGTATGAGAGAGAAAGATATTTTCAGTTTGAAAATACTACTTTACAATATTCTCAATTCATTTATGGATCTCAGACTGTAGCAGACATAACCTCATGTCCTTATTTCAAAACTTTATCAAAAACCTCCTCACTCTACAGATTAAATGTCATCTCCTCCATCAAATTTTCTCAAGTCCCCCTACTCAGAATGAATTACTGTATCCCCACAACATATAACTTATACCCTATTAGAACATGTATTGCAACCTGCCTGGCATAAAATTTCTTTCTTATCTTTCTCTCCCATCACAACATATAATATTTGAGGCAGAGCTCTTCTAGTACTTTGCATAGTGCCTGCATAGAATAGATGTTCAATCGATATTTGCTAAATCAATTTAAATTAATTCTCTAAATATTTGAAAACACAACATGTTCCCTTCCAAAAAAAATCTGCATTTACATAACTTGGCAAAAATGGTTTAAGCTCCCAGAACCACCATTTTTTACTAAATGAGCACGTAACACCTTAAGATGAATCAGTTTATAGGCCAAGCTGAAACAGTAGCAGCAATGATAGCTTATGAATCTGGAAATGAGCACGTCTCAAATTCCTGTCCAGTGACTGGCTCACCTGTACAAGTTTAGAGGTGATGGATTCTTACAACTATAGTATGTCCCACCTGTTGGTTCCAGAGTGTATTTCATATCCTATGTCATCTGACTTCTAGTTTTTACAATTCATTCACAATGCCTCAAAAACTGTTTCTATACTATCACTTAAGATCATAGATTCCATATAAGGACAAAAATGAGAACCGATTATACAGGACAAATCATGAAACCAATAATCTATTTTGGCATTTTATAAATTCAAAATTTCTAGTGACGATTGAAAATAGCAAAAATTAAATGTTTATTAAAACAGTTACAGGGGAAAAATCAATTAACAATTATTGAACTCAAATTATGTTCAAGGAACCATGGGGGAATACTAAGAAACAATCCCTGCCCTCAACAGAATTTAAAATAATCCTTAATATTAAGAAATATATTAATTAAATTTAGGACTTTTTATATTGGTTAATTCTTGGCATTTATTTACCTGCTTAATTAAAGGCTGCCTGTTTAAAGGGCTTTGTCCAGACTTGAATCCAGAAGATTCTTGGTATGGTTTTTTACCATGATTTCTTTCTTCAATATCATTTCTGAATTCTGAACATTCTTTGAAAAATAATTATTTTCTGTATTTTCAGTCAGTACATTCAACATATCTTTCAGAAGTATTATCTGTGATCTCTTTGTTTTAAAGCTATGCACTGCGTTTTGCAACACTTTTGTTATTTCATTAATCTGATATTGTCCGAGAGTCTCACTGAATTCCAGAACAGTCTTTGCCATACTGTTTCTATTTGCATACCTTAATATGGTAGTTTTCTCTGTATACAATACCTCAAAGTTGCTTTCATACACCACCAAAGTTGGGGCACATTATCTGAAATTAATTGAAAGAATACTCTAATAGAAAAAGGAGAGATGGAGAGAAACTGTCTGCTTTGTATTAATCATGTGAATATTTGCCTCAATCATATGCTTTGCTTTGGGAGTAAAGACAGCTTAAGAAACGATCAAAGAATATGGATCTCCAAAAGGCTCACAAAATTCAATTTTATGTTTAGTTAGAACCATGAGAATGGGCCACCTCACCATTCGTAGTAGCTCTGGCCTTATTAACAACGACTATCACTCCTTTTCTCAGAACCTGCTAAACCACCGAAGGATTCAAACAAGGACTATAGTGAAGCTGAGTAGGTAACTGTCAGGAGCTTAGAGGAACCACAATGGCAAGATGATGCCAACCTGCTGACTAGACTATGGAGATCCTTAATTGTTGAAAAGACTTCTCTACTATGGCAATCTGCAGTGCATTCATATTAAACTATGCACACTGCACTGACCAATGTGATTAGGGATACAAAAAACTTTCTTCATGTTCTTCTGCACTCTCTTTGCCCTCAGCATTCATTTCATCAAAATATAGATGTCATGGTGCCCAGATTATTAACCATGCCTTTAACCTTCCTGTGTTGCCTCCTAAAAGTAGAATTGGACTAATCAGCCAGGCTTGTGAAGAAGTACAAAACATTTCTCATTCTCATCCTGCCCTCCCTTAAGGAAGTAACTCATATAAATTTAAAAAAAAAGTTTTCATTTGTTATGGCATAAATTCTTACCAACTCTGTGTGCCTGTGTTTCCAAGAAAAATAAAACTAGCAACATAATGGAACTTTAGAACACATCCCAAGTTTGCGAATTTACTTACCTAGTTACTCTTTTTACCACATTGCGATTTTTAATATACTTTACCTTTCTCCCGGTGATGCCCAGGAGCATCTGATCGCCCTCTTGAAACTGAGTGCATTTTTCCACAGTTCTGTGTTTCATTCCCTCCTTCTTCAGTGCTTGTATTTCCTATCTTTCTAAGCATTATAATTTCATCTGTATTAGAAAACACATAAAAATGAAGACAATGGAAAAAGCTGAATTACAACAGTGCATCTCAAGTGAATAATCTATATTCTACCTTATCATGTTTCAGGAAATTTTAAAAATTAATAACCCTGAGAAATGATGACACTACAATAATGAAATTTTGAAACCATAACAAAGATCAAACAATACAGACATTTTTGGGTTAGTTTCCTGGAACAACAAAGAGAAAAATTCCTGTTAAATTTATAGTAACGATTTATGCAAAAATAAAATATACTCAAAGTAAAGTAGCTTAAGGGGAAAATCATTTAAATAACTTATTTTACTAAATATTATTTTAGTTTCAGAGAAATACAGAGCAATAGTGTCATCCATGATTAAATGTAAGTAAATGCTAGACAATGAGTTGCATTTATTCTCCTCAAAAGCAAGAAAGGAAACAATGGTGAAGGATATTCACAAGAGATACCAAACAAGCAAGGAACCAAGATCAGTGTGGTAGCAGGAAGCAATCAGACTTGACTTTGTAGTCAGGCATGTTCTTATGCACTTATGTAGAGAGCACTCACATGGCATGATTTGAAGAATGAGAGATAGGTACAACCTACTCCAAAATCTCTCTCATAATATCTGGGATGGAAAGGTTTAAAGGTTGGCTGCTCTATCAGTGAATGAAAGCTTACTTAGGTCAAGGTATCTTTGGAAGTAAGCACAAGTTAGGCATTTGGAAGGAGCTAGAGATATTAGAAGAAAGATGGGGAGCTGAGAAGGGTCTAAAAGAGGATGCAGTTGAACACCAAAGATTAACCACTCCTTTATTATTTTGCTTGGTACTAGTCCTGCCTCAGGTTTCCAAAAATCTGATTCTGATTTCCTTTGAAATGGCTGGCATCTCCAAAGGCAGGGTAAAGCTCAGCAATCAATTGAGTATCATTTCTTGACAATCCCATTTTAAGCCTTTGTTCTGTCTGCCTCTCGGCAGCCATTGGTTGTAACATCTCCCACAGACATAGTCTTTAATTTTCTGTTCTTTATATTCTTTATGTATTCCCTTTTCTTCTCAATTTTTTCTCTGTTGTTTCCCCCGTATTCTACATTCTGTACAGAGATTTGTACAGATTTTTTTTTCATTACAGTATAAGGGAGTGCACTAACAGAGCATCTTACAAGACACCACAGGAAGAGTTTCTTAATCTCCAACCCCTCCCCAACCATCAGCTCTGAAACAGAGACCCAGTGAGAAGGGTGACTTCCTAAAGAGGGGAGCAAAACTTTGGAGAGGAAAAAGTGAAGAGCAAGCTCCTTCCTGAGCTGGTACCTTTCACAATGATATGGTGGGGTGCTCTGGGACCAGTCTGCGTCTTGTGGCACTCATACACAATTTGCAGTGGCTTTTAATTTTTCCTGTTCTCAGAGTCACCAAAAATAATGGCAAGCTCTATCTTCAAATCACTTAAGGATTAAATAAAATAGAAAATTTATTGAGGCTCATGCAGACCTACAGCCACAGTTGAGAAATATTTATCTAATGCTTTATGACAGGGATGGCTGAATGGATAAACTAAGTAGGTTAATAATAACACCTTTAAATCGAATAGTACTTTAAACTTCACAAAGCACTTCCACATGACACTGTTGGCACAGTACCTGGCATATATGAGACACTCAGTAAATGAGATAATAAATGCCAGGTCCTGTGCCCCGACCCTTACAGCTGAGCAGAGATTATCCTCACTTTATAAAGAAGGAGACAGCCATAGGAAGATTATGGGACTTACTCAAGGGCACAAAATCAAGATGATAACAAGCTGGGACAGATTCTGAGTCCAAGAGTCTTACCACTACCTTACACATTCTCCTTCAAAAGCTCAGCTATCCCAAGAATTAGGACAGCAGCACCCAGGCTAGTGACCATTCATTTGAATATGGTATTCCTATTAAAATAGCAGTTTCCTTTCGATTCTATTTGAAATTAATTGCACGAAATCAAGTTTAGCATTTAAGTAGTATAACAGCAACCTCTAAGCCAGTATCCAAACACCCACTTTACCCTGTCCTCTTGATTTCTTCATCCTAAGATTTGGTATGCCACCATTATTAGGCACAGCATTTAGTGCTACACAGGAAAGCTATGGCATGGCTTTAAATCCTGTTAGTGGCCTCATTTGCCCAACAGGACTTAAGTCACTTGAACTTTCAATCAAACCACGCTGCAACTCACATAATCCTTTTAAACTCATGAGTGAAATATATAAAATGGCTCCAGAAATACCTAGAGTCCTCTTCCCCCATAATCAAATCCTTCTTGGCTTATTTTTTAGCTTACACATAACAGTATAAAGACTTCAATCTTAGTGTCATCTTGACAGTGCCACATTAATCCCACAGGATTTTTTTTAATCCTTTCCTTTTGAACATATTACTGATTGGAAGCATTTTCCCATCTCGCTCTAACCCAATCCAAATATCATGTACCTCCCTAGTACTATGAATGAACAAAGATGAGCCAAAGAATAGCAAATAGCGGTAGTATTACAGAAAGCAAAATGTTGTACGTTCCATACAAGATGAGCTTTTTATAAAAATGTCATTCCCGGGGCCTGCCCCGTGGCCAAGTGGTTAAGTTCGCGTGCTCTGCTTCGGCGGCCCGGGGTTTCAGCGGTTTGAATCCTGTGTGCGGACATGGCACTGCTCATCAGGCCACGCTGAGGTGGCATCCCACGTGCCACAACTGGAAGGACCCACAACTAAAAAAATACACAACTATGTACCAGGGGGCTCTGGGGAGAAAAAGGAAAAATAAAATCTTTAAAAAAAAATGTCATTCCCAAATAGGCTTTACAGAGATTGACTGTCATAGTTCACATTCAACAAATGGGTATAAGTCTCATATCTGCTACCTAGCCAACAGCACCAAGATATTTGGACTCACGGTAATTGTTCTAGAAGAGAAGGCAGAAATATACTCCGGTATCCAAGCAAATCTACAATAAAGAAACTCTCTGGGTCAACAATACATTATTTTCCCACTTATTTAGCCTTTCTCTGAGGTTGTTCATTACCCTAGACTACAAAGATTTTGTTATGGTGTTGACATTTAAGTTTTCTTGAAAATGGTTGCTGCTTTCACCCAATTTAGACTCATAAGGGATAGTACTGGCTTCTCTAAAATATCAGCAGCCCTGTATTAAGGGTTCAGATTTAATGACGACACTTTCAACTGCTATATAAAATTCATTTAACTAACAGGAAATTCAATTTTCTCCTTGGTGTTTTTCCATTTTTGTTATGTTTATCCCACAACTGAATTTCACGTCAAAGAGATCACTAGTGCAAGGGAAGATAAGCACACCAAAGTGGAGTGCAGAGAAACAAGGTACAGCAGACAGCAGGAATTTGTCCTGACGGCCTGTAACACACGTAAATGAAATTGTTTAAAAGATGAAAAGGATGTCATGGGTACATTTTAGACTTGAAAGTGATCACTCACCCATTTGTTTCATTTAAACTGTCTCCTAAATCAGCTTTCCTGAAATACGACTAAAATATAGCATTAACTAAAATGTAAAGGTAGAAAGAGGCCTAGAATCACCTTAAATCTGGAATGGAATCATGAAGCAGGAAAGCACCAATCCCTCATTTTACAAATGAGGAAACTAAGGCCCGGAGGAAGTCATACACCCAAGGTTAGCTAATGGCAGAACTGGGATTAAAACATAAATCTCCTGAACATGAAGAGTTTTGAAAGTCATGCTAAGATTATCAAATGCTATTCTATGGTCAGTGGTTTTCTCCCCCGGCTGTGCATCAGAATTACCTGGGGAGATTTATTTTAAAATACAGAAACCCTATCCAAGTTTATGACTCAGTAAGACTGGAGAGGGACTCAAGTATTTGTGTTTTTTCAGAAGTCCTCCAAGTAACTCTGATGGTTAGCCAAAATTGCAAAGAACTGTTCTGAGCAATGGAGAATCTTCAAAGAGCACAGGAGTGAGATTATGAAACCGATGGTTTGGGAAAATCTCAATTTGTGATTGCAGAATAGAGTGAGACTACAAAAAGAAAGACTAGTTATTTTGGGGTAAGCAGAGGGATTGCAATATTCCAAGCATGAAGACAGAAAAGGTTACACTAGGGTGGTATCAGGGAAAAAGTACAAGAAGAACAAGAAGTCCTCTCCCTATCCACCTCAGATCGAATGGAAACATTGACTGCAGGGGCCTCCGCAGCCTCATTCTCTTCTACTCATCCCCTTGCAAGCACAAAGCTCTTACCCCAGAACTCACAGTATTCTCACCGAACCACCAGTTATCAAAGACCTCCCCAGGTCACCAAAGAAATGAGGCCAAATTGAGGAGGAGGAGGAACCCACAGAGAGATGTTCTTAAACTATAGCAGGGGAGACGACTTCCTAGAATTCTCAGTTTGACCCTGAAATATATTATTGTATAAAATATTATTATAAATGGTTGTTGCAATCCAAATATCAGTGCACCAAATAGAATTGTGCATTGCCCTAGAAACCCATTTACCCTTTATATTGTTTCTACAGAGGAAATTCTTTATGCATCCAACAGCTGGCATACAAATGAGGTATTGGAACACAGCAACACATTTGCCAGCTGGGACTTGCCTGTATGTGATTACGTATCAACCGAATAACATAGAAACTAAAAGCTCCAGAATTGCAGAGAGAAGACAGACTACTGTGTACTGGAACAGCTACAAAATCCTTGTGGCAAAGGTGGGTAAGACTGATTGCACTTGAATGAGGGGAAAGATCTGGGCACTCCAAGAAAGAGAAACAACATGAGAAAAGACTTGGAGCAGGAATTAATACGGTATTTTCAGGAAGAGGATCAATTTGGCTAGAATGGAAGATTAGTGCCGGAGAGTTACGGGGGAAAGGTTAGATGGATAAGGTAGATGATAAAAAGCCTTGAGTGTCAGGAGCTAAGACACAAGTAATGAGGATTATGGACGGGGGTGAGGGGAGAATCCCACGC